GTTAATAGACGGTGAAACATCACCGTCTCTATAATAAAGTACAAAAAACTAGCCGCGGCGAGGTTAGCGGGGCCTATAGTCCAGCTACCTTGGGAGGCTGAGGCAGGAGAATGGCGTGAACGCCGGAGGGCGAGCTTGCAGTGAGCCTGAGATCCTGGCGCACTGCGACTCCCAGCCTGTGCGACAGAGCAAGACTCCGTCTCAAAAAAAAAAACAACAAAAAAACCCAAAAAAAAACAACCAAATGTTCTTTTTTTGGTGGAGATGGGGTTCTCCCTGTGTTGCCTCAAGATAGCTGAATCCTGAACTCATGTGATCAGCGTTCTCTTACTACTGTAAAGCGGATTTTTTTTTTTTTTGAGACGGAGCATCCCCCCACGGATATTTGTTTAAGAGCTCTATTGAGCTATAATTCACATACCATAAAATCCGTTAAGTGTACAATTCAGAGTCGTGCAACCATCACTGCAATCACATTTAGAACATTTCACCCCCCATCAAAAGAAACCTCAAATCCTTAGTGTCCCTCCTCAACTTCCCTTGCCCCAGGCAGCCACTAATCTTTCTGTCTCTCTAAATGTGCCTATTCTGGGCACTTCGTATGAACAGAATTACATATACTCCATGTGCTTTGTGACTGGCTTCTTTCATTGAAGATGGTGTTTTCTTTTTTTTTTTTTTTTGAGACGGAGTCTTGCTCTGTCGCCTGGGCTGGTGAGTGAAGTGGCCGGATCTCAGCTCGCTGCAAGCTCCGCCTCCCGGGTTACGCCAATTCTCCTGCCTCAGCCTCCCGAGTAGCTGAGACTACAGGCGCCGCCACCTCGCCCGGCTAATTTTTTTTTTTTTTTTTTTTTTTTATTAGAGACGGGGTTTCACTGTGTTAGCCAGGATGGTCTCGACCTCCTGACCTCGTGATCCGCCCGTCTCGGCTCCCAAAGTGCTGGGATTACAGCTTGAGCCACACGCCCGGCCCTTAAAGATGGTGTTTTCTTTTTTTTTTTTTTCTTTCTTCTTTCTTCTTTATTTTTTTTTTGAGATGGAGTCTCGCTGTGTTCCCAGGCTGGAGTGCAGTGGCGTGATCTCGGCTCACTGCAAGCTCCGCCTCCCAGGTTCACGCCATTCTCCCGCCTCAGCCTCCCAAGTAGCTGGGAACTACAGGGCCCGCCACCAGTGCCCGGCTAATTTTTGTGTATTTTTTAGTAGAGACGGGTTTCACCATGTTAGCCAGGATAGTCCTCGATCTCCTGACCTCGTGATCCGCCCATTCCCGGCCTCCCAAAGTGCTGGGATTACAGGCTTGAGCCACCGCCCGGCCAAAGATGGTGTTTTCAAGGTGCATCCTCATTGTAGCATGCATCAGTACTTCGTTCCTTTTTATGGACAATATTTCATTGTATAAATCGACTGTATTTCATTGACGGACATTTTGAAAGCCTTTCAATCA